ACAAGCATACAGTATAGGAGAGAACTACATGAATACTTCAGCTTTACCTCACATTTGGAGACAGTAAAGGTGTGGCCAAGATGGAGGCGCCCATTCATATAAGGATAAGGGAAGGTAGTTAAATATTTTGGCGATTTTCCTGAAAAGGTGTCATAAATCCAGAAACAGAGCCAGCATGAAAAACGAACTTGTCGTCAGCATCGATCTCGAACACTCTATTTCGTTCCCATAACTCCTGGATCTCTGCTTCCTTTTCTAGAAGTACAGCAACTTTTTTTCGCTCCTTCCCAGTGCCGGCCATTACCTTAGCAAAACAGGATGCTGAAAAACCTACATTAATCGACTGTGTTTAAGTGTGGCTCCGAACAAATTCGTCAACATCATTCAAGGTGTACGAAAGAGGTAGCGAAAAAAATGAGCGCTCGTGCCATCACTGATACGGTCCTCCGAGGTCCGGTACTACACAACTATTGTAACCCTGAAATCTCGATTTTTTCGTTGAATTTTTGCTCATAGGGTAATTCGCTGCCCTGGTTACGAAAATGACATATTTTCATCAATGGCACCAGCTACAATACTTTGCCACGACAACTATTCTCACCAAATTCGGGGTAAATCTCTGTATTATATGATGTCCTGATTACATAAATGGCATTAATCCTCAGCGCTGGCGCCATTTGGCGCCCCCCATTTCCGCTCGTCGCGCCCTCTCACTTATTAGATCGCCATCACGACCAAGCCTTTGAGGATCCCGAAGTGAGTGAGCCACTTAGTCTGTGATTTCACACGTTTCAAGTTTCGAGTGAAGCGGAAAACGGGGAAATGCGCTGTACAGCGCTACTTCCAATCGAATGTCATATTCGTAATCAGGACATCAAATAACCCCTATACAGAACTTTACACCGAATTTGGTGAAAACATGTGTCGTGACAAGGTGACGCCAACTGGCGCCAGATGGCGCCACCGCCAAAAATGAATGTCATTTTCGTAATCAGGGCACCGAATTACCCTATAGGCAAAGTTTCGACGAAAAATAAAATTTTGAGATTTTGGGGTTGTAATAGTGAGTGTCCCAGCTTCTGCTGCAAACCAGTAGTGTCGGGTCATGCACTACGATCTTGCGATCCTGCCTTTTTTTCGAGGAGTAGATACGTATAGACCACACATGGGATCATACATTCGCACAAGTGCATTGTCGATACGTATCCACTTCACACTCCAAACTACAAAATGAGCTGCAAAGCATGACTCGCCCCGCGTGCTGAGTGGGCGCAGCATGCATCGCAACATAAACACGGGAAAACAATAAGTGAACGGACTGATTTCAAGAATGGCAGCGTATAGCGGGGTTAAACAACTCAATGTGTAAGACAGAATGCTGAGAGCAAGCTGGAAACACAGTTAGGCATTTTGTAGTGAAAATAGTGTGCAGCATTAACAAAACGAGGTATAGCGACGTCAAATAAAATGTTTCGCTACGTATACACACACTACCTCCCACCTCACGCCGACGAACGCGCGCAAAAGCGATGGGCCAACGTAAGGATTCGCATGTCCTCCAAGATGAGGAAATGCTGCTTTTTCACCTCCGCTCTTTCTAGCATGTGTAAATACAAGTAGCAAATCTGAAGAATTTGAACACATATTCAAATGACTATAAGTTTCGGCACTATTGCACTATTACAACCCCAGTGGGGGTGAGATGGGTCAAAAAATAATTTTCGCTGAAACTTTTGCTATGGGGGTTATCGAGGGTCCTGATCACGAATATGACATCCATTTTTGGCGCTGGGCGCCATTGGCGCCAGTGGCGCCACAACTGATTATCACCAAATTCGCTGTAAACTTCTGAATAGGGGTTATTTGGGGCCCTGATCACGAATATGACACTCGTTTTTAACATTCGTGCTGTTTAACGCATATTTTCTGCTTTTCTAAGCTTTCTCACCTAGCGCCTAGACTAAGCTTAGGGGAGGGGAGTGAAACTCCGGAGTGGGTAAACCACGCACCGTGTGGCAAAAGTTGGAGTGTGTTAGACCACAGGGGAGTGCCCTACTCACTTTGGAGCCCTCCACTATTCAAAGGCTTAGTCCTGATTGCGATCTCAT